ATGCAGTTGTTGCTTGGGGCAATATTTCTCATCATTCTTCCATGCTCACAACTGCACGTTATTCATGACGATGGCACCTGTGGCAATGACGCTGTCCCATACCGTATCTCAATCGACGATAAGGGAAGCCCTAGTAAGTAACCACGTTCTTGGTATGTACTAAATAGATAAACTATATCACCGTTTTTAGAGCTCTACTGCTCGACTCCACCTTGTCTCAAAGGAGAATATAGGCCGAACGGATTTCGAACAGCAGTGGTATGTTTGTTATTGCACAAAATGAATTGCATTATTAATGTAACGCATACATCAAAATTATTCGCAACATTTTATCTCCATAGCATGCCTCAGAGAGTCTTTGTTTTCGAAGGTTTAGAGTGAAATTTCGTTTGCTCCTTACGTTGTCAAGAATTGCAGTGAAATAGCTCCATATCAAGTACACTGAGTGACTGAAGATTACTCTTGAAACCCTCCAGTATCTTACCTACTGTCGGGACAACCTTTAAATAACCTCCTTCATGTATGGATAGGGTATTATTTCATGTAAAAGTCTAAGTCAAAGTAATGAACTTCTTTACTTATGTCCATTTGATATTCGTCCTATTTATTCACCATATTCATTATTCACAATCTGGCTGACTAAAACAAAAGAGAAACAGTGTGGTCGCCAATGTTTGTTCTTTTATCTATTTCCACCTCTACTTACTTCTGATTATTTTCAAATTTCATATACGCACTTATTGCCAGAAGCTTTCTCAGTAAATGCCACCTTAAGGATGTTTGCCCACAGGAAAAGGTTTTCATTTCCCGCTCATTAATATAAGCAGTTCTTCCAGGTCAAGAAAAAAAACAAAAAGTATTGAAAAGTTTCTTGCACGCTAACGAGGCATAGTAAGGAAGATAGATGGCATGGTGCAGATGGGCACAAAACAACATTTTGAAGCTGTAGAAAGTGAAATGAGGTCACTTGATCAGGCGGCGACTAGCAAAAGCTGCTGCTGCTTCGCTTTTCACCCAATACGATATAGCCGCTCTGCTCAAAAATCTATAACTGGACACAGTGCTAAAATTGTTAACACCAGTCGACTAGTTAGCTCCTTTATCCCACGGGGACGTTTTGATGTTGTCCTTTAAACGTCCCAGCGATCTTTTGATTCTGACAATGACTTTTGTCTACGCCAAACCTGTCCCGTGCGGTAGTTTCAGATCATCAGTAGGGCAATAATGCACCGGTCACTCAGTTAAATGTTGCGAGTGAATCGTTCGACGAATAGTTAAGTGGACTCGGCGAGGCGTCTGATGAAGGTCAGCCTCTTGTACATTCACTCAAATTCGGGATAAACTAAAGATCACCCTATGTCGAAGAGATGTACATAAAGTTTTCTGTTAGATCGACCTGCTTTTGTAGTTAGCAGTGATGTTGGAGTTGAAAATGGTTCGAGTTGACTGCCATTGTAGTGATTCGAAATTTTTGCTAAAATTGGACTTTCTAAAAACCCAGATACCTTTACAGAAATGTAAACCGTTCAAAGACGTTGTTTGTATCGGAGAATTACAATGGACGGGAGGCCTTGAGGAGGTGAACAACGGTACTCATAACGTGTCAGTTTCTATAGCTTCTATTTTTGTTTATACTGTATTCTCTATATTTTAAAATTCTATTCTTAGGCTGAATGCCGCTTGTTGTTCCTACTCTGCAATGGCTCACTCACAGCTTGTACGAACAATATTTCTTGGACAGGACGACAGGTAAGAACGACAATATTACACTTCTACCAAAATTTCATCTTATCAATTTACAGTTACGAAGGTGGTTTTCATGAAAAACCTGGACAAGTCGGAGGCTTCGATCTTATCAAAGAAGTGCGAAAATCGGTCATTGGAGATAATAAGTATGGGTCTAACACACTTATCATTTTTTTGCAGAAAAGTTATCTAAAGAATGTTTTTAAAAATTCATTCGCATTTGCAAAAACAAAGCTAAAGAAGAAAATTAGTTCTTTTTTTAGAGTACAGTACATTATCACGATCCATCGATTACCTTGTTCGACCGATCGTACGAGGTTTAGAGGTAAGATAAGTAACTTTAAAGTGAAGTTGGAACATTATTAGCAATTTAACATGGGTACTATTATAGTATTCAAAAAAATTATTTTGAAATAACGTTATGCGTAGTCAAATTTGATTCATTGTTGTAAGTTTCTCAGGTTATACCCGTAGTCCAAGCAGAAATAAGCGCCGCATGGACGAAAACAAAAAGGAAAATGAGTACGAATATGAATGGGAAGAGAATGAGGGGTGGGTTGCTCACTCGTCTCACAACGAGATTAATTTTAAATAATGAAAATTTTCATTGTTTTTATCTCCGCCCTCGCAGATCAAGTTGTTTAGACAAC